TTCACAAGTTTCTAGAAAAGACGATTTAGACTCTGACTAAGTGGGACCCACGGTTCAATTATTAGCATTTTTAGCTCAAAGAAAAATAGCATAAATCGTGACGATCGTTAAAAATAACGTCGGCTATATGTAACGGCCGTTAGTAACTATGGTTATCAACAACGTGTTAACAAGAAACGATGTTAAAGTGGTTGCCGCCGAGTTATATTTCCTTAACCTAAAGCCGTGGTTATCACCTCAAAGCACAAATACTTTTCCTTAACCTAAAAAAAAGTAGCAAACGCTCAATACACGTCATTCTATATACGTGTCAATTTTTTATTCGCTATTGCTTCACCGCCTCACCATTCTCGTGACCGACTCTTCCTCCTCCTCTTCTTTTCGTATAAATAAATACATCCCCTATGACCTCGTTTCCTTCACAGTTAATTCATCTTCGAAACAACAAAAAAAAAAACTTGTCAAATCTCTCTCTCTCTCTCAATCGACCTTACGATTCAAGGTAGATTCTCGATTGCTTCTTCTGAGTTCTTAGATTTGTTCTTCGTTTGATTGCGATTGTTTTGAATTTGATTCTGTTTTTTCTTCTTCTTCTGAGTTTTATCGATAGATATCCTCTTGATTATCGATTAGGGTTGGTGTGATTTGCAAATCTGTGTTTTTAATCTTCGATCTGTGATCGGATCTGATTTTCTGTTTGTGAGATCGGATTTTTGGGTTATCAAATCGATTTTTAGATCTGTAATTTAAGTTGATTAAGGTTATTAATCTGAGTTTATTGCGAATTTCAGATGCAGATCTTCGTTAAGACTCTTACCGGAAAGACTATCACCCTCGAGGTGGAAAGTTCCGACACGATCGATAACGTTAAAGCCAAGATCCAGGACAAGGAAGGGATTCCTCCGGATCAGCAGAGATTGATCTTCGCCGGAAAGCAGTTGGAGGATGGCCGAACATTGGCCGACTACAATATCCAGAAGGAATCAACCCTTCACTTGGTTCTCAGGCTTCGTGGTGGTATGCAGATCTTCGTCAAAACCCTTACGGGGAAGACGATTACCCTTGAGGTGGAGAGTTCTGACACCATCGACAACGTTAAAGCTAAGATCCAGGACAAGGAAGGCATTCCTCCGGATCAGCAGAGATTGATCTTCGCCGGAAAGCAGTTGGAGGACGGCCGAACTTTGGCCGACTACAACATTCAGAAGGAATCCACCCTTCACTTGGTGTTGCGTCTACGTGGTGGTATGCAGATCTTTGTGAAGACCTTGACTGGTAAGACTATTACCCTCGAGGTTGAGAGCTCAGACACGATCGACAACGTCAAAGCTAAGATTCAGGACAAAGAGGGTATCCCACCGGACCAGCAGAGGTTGATCTTTGCCGGCAAGCAGCTTGAGGACGGTCGTACTTTGGCCGACTACAATATCCAGAAAGAGTCGACACTTCACTTGGTGTTGCGTCTGCGTGGGGGTATGCAAATCTTCGTCAAAACCTTGACTGGTAAGACAATCACCCTCGAGGTTGAGAGCTCGGACACCATTGACAACGTGAAGGCCAAGATCCAGGATAAGGAAGGCATCCCTCCGGACCAGCAGCGTCTCATCTTCGCTGGAAAGCAGCTAGAGGATGGTCGCACCTTAGCAGACTACAACATCCAGAAGGAGTCGACCCTTCACTTGGTCCTGCGTCTTCGTGGTGGTATGCAGATTTTTGTGAAGACCCTTACCGGCAAGACCATCACACTGGAGGTGGAGAGCTCTGACACAATTGACAACGTCAAGGCCAAGATCCAGGACAAAGAAGGTATCCCACCGGACCAGCAGCGTCTCATCTTCGCTGGTAAGCAGCTTGAGGATGGTCGCACACTGGCTGATTACAACATCCAGAAAGAGTCGACCCTTCACTTGGTCCTCCGTCTCCGTGGTGGTTTCTAAAACTCTTGCCGGATCGAAAGTCAATGTCTCTTTTAAGTTTCCAAAGTTGTTTTCGTATCTGTTTCTCTAAGACTTGGTCGTTTGTGTTTTGGGGTCTTGTAAAGCCCTCTGATAGATAATTGATCAACTATGTTTGGTTTCTTATCTCTTGACTCTTTGGCATTTATTTGCCCATTGGAATAAAGTTCGTTTCTTTTTTATCATCGTTGGCCTACACTTACTTCATCGTCTCTGTTTCACTGATTGTAACATCTTGGGTTATCACTTGGAAGATGGTTTTGTGGCTTAAAAGTCTTTAGGGTTAGGAGAAATGTTTTCAGGCTTTCACCTTCTTCGTGCCTAAGATTGGTCACCTTTTACTCTGTTTGGTAAGACAGTTGACAGGCGCTTGTAGTACACACTAACATGGAATATAGCTGCTCAGATTCAGTAGAGCTTATACTAATTTTAACATGGACTATTTACAGCAGAAATACGGGATTTCTGATAGCAAGAGTCTGTTCGAAAAATTTGAAGCTTTGAACAGATGACAATGAGCCATATGTGTGTGTTCTCATTCAATCATTCACAGATGGAAACTGGAATGTAAAACTAGCAAAGCAAACAAAATCATCCATCGACTGGAAACATACAAGCTCTGAATAATGTAACCTATATATAGGAAGAACAAATAAGTTGCAAAAAAAACAGTTACCGGGGAAAAGAAACCAAAATTCCAAAAATGTTCCATAGAGAGTGCATGCCACCAATTTGAAGTTTGTATAGAGTTAGACCTATTAGATTACTTATTGGTCAAGTGGTAGCCGTTCCATTTAGACCTCTTGTATACATTAAAATGAGGGTTTGGAAATTAAGTACTCCACTAAACTCAGTAAAAAACAGCAAAATACACAATTTCATATATTAATAATCCTATTTAGACATCATCAGTTTCACACTTTAAGCAAAATATACATCAACAAGAACCAAGCTTAAGCCTTCACAAGGTGGTCTAGGCCGCAGATGGAGCTTTAGCACAGTGAATCACAACAGCTTTAGACAATTCTGTAAATATCTTTGGAAGGTTATGCTGTTTCTTGTGGACC